TGTATCACCCTCTTTCAACGAATGAGCGTATTTTCATCCCGGGTCAGATCGATTAGAAGCTCTTGATAATGAAGATTCTTGTTGAGCCATGTTAAGAGAAGTTGAAATAAAGATAATGGGCTTTTTTGAGGATAAACAGAGAAAAAACAGCAAGTGAACAAAGGAAAAATTGAAACATGTAAAGAGAAAAATAGAAATGAAGAAATAAAAGAAAAAACAGCGAGATAGGAAAAAACAAAAAAAGATGGCTACCGGAAAAAAGGTGTCGCCGGAGATGGAGGTTCAGGTCGCCGGAAATGGAGGTTCAAGTCGCCGGAGATGGAGGAGATTGTCGCCAGTGAACAGAATAGAATAAAGCAGGTGAACAGAACAGAGCAAGTCGGAGAAGAGAAAGATGTGAGAAAAGGGCAGATCTACGTCAGAGAAGACAAATCGGAGAAGATAAATAAAAAAAGATGATGGTAGAGAGAGGTCCGAGACGTGCGGAGATGGGAGACAAGCAGAGAAAAGAGAGATGAGAGATGAGGGAGAAGGGTTTGAGTGACGGAGAAGAGAGACTCACCTTAGTAATGCGTGGGTCAGTCTTGGATCAGGTCGGGTTTAGGCCCAAATAACATAAATCCGCCATTTTTCACACATTTCCGCCATGGCCGCCGTTACCGCCATGGGCATAACAGCCGCCATGGCACCGCCACACAAAACTGCCATTTAACGAAGGCGACATAACGACAGGGTTGAAATCTGCCACCGCAACCCGCCATAATGCCGCCAAATCCGCCATTTGATAACACTGAATACTATATATTAAATTAAAATGTCATTAAAAAATACCAAAACATACCTCCTCAACTTGCCACAAAAAATCTCATTGATCAACAATTGGAAGTTGGAAAGGGCATTCATGAGTCCAAAAGACATTACAAGATACTCGTTACCTTCATGAGTTTTAAATGTTATCTTTGGAATATCCTCCTCCTTCATTCGCACTTAATGGTATCTTAATTTCAAATCTAATTTGAAGAAAAAACCAGCCCTGTTCAACTCATCCAAAAACTCTTAGATCACCAGAATGGGGAATTTATTAGGTACGATTACTTTATTAAGAGCCATATAATCGATGCACATCCTCCAAGACTGGTCTTTCTTCTTAACCAAAATTATAGGACTAGAATAGGCACTGTTATTGTGCCAAATGACTCCATTGTTCCATAGCTCCTTGACCTATCTTTCTATCTTATCTTTTTTATGATGTGCATAACGATATGGTTGTACATTCACCAGTCCTTGGCCAGGCAGCAAGGTTATACTGTGGGCTTTGGACCTCTGAAAAAAACTTTTTGGCTCTAGAAAAATGTTCTCATAACGACCCAATCAAGTTTCTAACTCTTGCTTCTGCTTTTCAGTTAAATACGCCTTGTTATGACCTTTCAATTCAGCAGACATCATAATTCCCTCCACACATCAAGAATTCATCTTCACCACTACTCCCAGTGCAGTCAAGGTAGGACCCCCAGTCCATGCTCCACAGAGTCTCCCACTTGCCCTTAAAATTAATTGTCATGATTTGGAGCTTCCAATCCACCACAATCTCACCCAAAGATGCCAACCAAGAGATCCCCGACACCATATCAATATCCTTAAGATCAAAAAGGAATGCACAAGATAGATTTACCAACACATGGAGACTGCATAACTGTCCTCTGATTTCTTCTTTCAATCCATGAAGGAAATATGCAAAGTATTGTGCCTTTGGAATCTTGCGGACTTGCGCAGTGAGGAACTCAAAATCTTTAATATATTCTTCAACATCGCTGGTTTGCTGCAAGGCCATGCGTTGGTCATAAGCATTACCTTCAGCCAATCCCGCGTGCCTATTGAGCAAAACTTTCTTAAACTAATCCCAATTGAGATCTTCTTCTTCATTCATCAATGAATTGAAGAGGTGGATAATTCCTCCTTCCATACATAGCTGAGCCCAAGTTGACTCTGATGGCATCACTAGTTTCTTGCACATGGAAATAAATCTCAGCTCTGATTATCCATCTAGCAAGATCCCCACCATTAAACATCGACAACTCGACCTTCTTCACTGGCTGTCGAAACTTGTCTAGTGCCTCTCCTCGTAATTTCTTCAGACCCAAACTGCTATTAGCAATCTTCTTTTCTAGCATGTTGTTCTGTTCTGGATTGGGAGATTAATAGTTATCACCTTCCTTCTCTGGCGATTTTCCAGCTTCTACAGTGTTTTTGGAAAGCAGAGAAAACAGTTTCGACTGATATTCTGCAGTCTCCTTACACAACAACTCCATTGTCTTTTGATTCTCAAGCCTCATCGCCTCCATCATGGCTCTCATACTCGACAATTCCCTTTCAATGAAGTTGATTCTCAATTCCATCTCCACAGATTTTGCTGTTTCCTGTGATGGCGTTTCGATGATTGTTGCTTTCTTCTTCTGTGGTGGCATTCACCGTCGAAGAATAATCCGGCAAGTTGGACCAATTTGTTACAAACCCGAAAATCACAGAACAAGATATGGGGTAGAAACGACAATATTGAGAAAAAATAAGGGAAGTTTGTATTATTTGCAACAGAAAAAGGAAACTATGCAGAAGAAGAAAGGTTCTTCTAATCCTACAGAGCAATGCTCCTTATAGAGAGCCAAATGACACCCTATCCCACAACTTCCAAAAAACTGTCCTCCACTCACGGCTAAACATGCCTAAGTAACCAAAAACTATTCTCTCTCCATAACTAACTTTGCCAACTCAGCACATCTCAAGTATTTCCTAATTTCTTTCTTTTCCTCACATACACTATCCATTCCTTGGGCTTGGCTGAAGCTTCATGGATTACTTTCTCCTCAGGCCCATTTTCTTCTCGGTCCCCATCAGCAATGCAGAGTGACCAACCACAAGGCACTATAGGGATGTAGTGGATACAAGGAGGTTGCTATACCAAATTTAACAGAATGAAATGCAAAAAGTTTATAATACACATCAACACATGTAACTCCAAAGACAAAATGCCTCTTAAACTTAGATATATTGAACACTAATACCCAAAAGTCACAGAGGCAAAGGCATATGGTGATTCTGTAGCAATAAATCCTAAGCAACTACTAGAAAAACACAAACATACATATGCTCAATAGTTAAAAAAAATGTCTCACAAAAACAAAATAACTAGGACAAGTAAATCAAATCACAAGAAATGAACAATAGAGGGATGGATAAGACAAGAATCTGCCCAGAAAATCACTGGGTTGGGAGTTTGGTTGAAAGACAGAGAAAAGAAGGGACATGTGAAACACAGGAAGAACACAGAAAACATAAGTGTTCAGATGCAAAGCAAAAGGGATCTGTTGGACCAGAAAACACATTTAACACATGGTGGGTAATCTCAGAGGCAGAGCAGCTGAGTTTTTGTTGATCGAATAAGGATCTCAAACCATGAAAACCCTCTGATGCAAAAAGGATGAGAACTCCCTAAAATTTCCCTAAAAAATGAATGGAAAACCCAAAAACAAGTGGGCAAACAGGGTTTGCAGATCTGTTTGCTGGAGCAGCCAGGACGGCTGAAACTCCAGCAATGATTTGCCCACTATGACATCTGCAATCCCAACGTCCTGTAGCAGCCTGAGACAGTGGCCACATTCAGTGCAATTCAACACTCTATTTTTGTGGGGTACACTTTAGGCCCACTGAAGCAACCCAAAAAGTAATTGAACCATACTTATTCATCATTTCAAAATGCTGCACATCGTCAGATAGACTATGGAATTAATAAGAAATGGAAATTCCTAAAAAAAACATTAGTAAATTAGTATCATTGCTTGAATGCAAATTTTGCATCTATTGATTTGCACAATTTTCAATTTAACCACCTTTATTACAATAGCAACAACACTGCACCTCTAGTTTTTTAATTGGTCAGATTAAATCCATTATCAAGAAACCATTCAATGGGAATATTGAGGTGGAGCTCATGTGGACAGACACTTAAAATGTTTATGTCAGCATCAAATAATTGAAATCTAGGCATATCAGGTTAATCTCAAGAATTTCCATTTGCAATTGGCAGTCCATTAACAATGAAAGTTAAAAGTGTCAATTCAATGTATGCTGCAAAAACTTAAAATAAATTAAATGTATGATTAAATGCATCAATTCAACGAATGCTTAAATCTAGAAATAGTTAAATGTATGCTGCAATTGTAACCGTAAGGACAAATAGAAAATTCTATAAAATTAAATGATTTAAGCGTTTTTAAACTTAATATCATAAAATAACTCATTCTCACAGTGACATTCTAGATTTTTTTTCACGCAAAAAAAAGAGTAGTAAAAGGAACCAAAAGGCACACCTAAGTTGCTGAGGCAAGGTGCCAGAACAAGTCAGCACCTTAGAGTGCCTCCCCGATTCAAGCAAGGCACGGCTTTATAACCTCACCAATAATAATTAAAAAATAATCGCTGAACTCTCAGCCATATAACTTGCACACTGTGACACCAAACTGACTAAAATAGTCAAAATGTTAAAAGAACAACTAGTTGTGCATCCATGCAACTATATTAGCAGGGGATTGGCTTAGGGTTTTCTAAATTGAACAACATAATCTTTTGTGTCTACTATGAAAGTTAGACTTGAGTAATCCGTGTATACGAAAATTCAACGCAAAGTAGCAAAATGTTTTACAGCTGTCTTTTTCCGCGCACTTTATCAACACCTATGGCCTCAAAGTGTTAAAATCCCCTAAAACCGCAAGTGAACCATTGCCTTCGATTAACATCACAATAAGAGACAGACATCCCTTGTATTGTATTATCAACAAAAAATAATAAAATCCAATTCAAACAATTTCACAACCAAGGCACTCCCAAGTCCCAAGCAGGCACGGTTAATTCCATTATGTGCACAACATAACTAGTTCAAAGCGGAAAAAAGCACACACACATAATCCCTAACTAGTTCAAAAAGTTAGTAGTGCAATGAGGCGTACCAGAACCTCCCAGTGGATGCAATAACTTGTAGAACCTTCACAACCTCTTCCGTGGAAACATCTTGCTGTTGCTCATTGTCTCTGCAAAACCAAAAGTCACTGATTTAGGTATACAAGTGAATTTGCAAGCAAGAGATGAGTGAAATTGCAATCACCTGTGGTTCGAAGCTTCATCATTGTGTACGTCATTGGGAGGATGCTCTAAATTTTCTTGCGATTGCGTCTCCATAAGGACTACACTGAATCACGGAAATCATCAAAAATTGAACAATGAAAGTATTGGATACAGTTGGATACACACATAGGTACGTACATACATACCTATAGAATACCTTCACTAGTTTTGGATAATGGAAAGCTGTGTGGTGTGTTAGTTGAGATTTGAGTTTGAGTTTCGTTTCGTTTCGTTTCGTTTCGTTTGCAGCCTCCGTCGCCGTCAGCGGAGGAACTGCGTCGGTGTGTCTATGTGAATGTTGGGCTTTGTATCCTATTTGTGTTGGACCCATGGGCTCATTCGCTGCTGGGCCTTCTTCTTCAATAGAAGAAGAAATCTTAACCTTAACTTTAAAATATTATTACTCATATGGACTGTATACAGTTTTATTTTAGACCTTATAGCTACTATTATTTTAAAAGAAATCTTAACATTAACTTTAAAGTTGAGAATAAACAACTAAAATTTTATTAAAAAATAATTATACTTTTATAAATTTAATACAATAAATATATTTTATTTATAAAATTATTATAAATTGGATAGAAATTAACAAAATATTTATTTTAAATACATGTGTCATCTGTGTTGCTATGATAATATTATAAAACTAACATGAAATTAAATTAAAAAATTGTTAAGTAAAAGAAAAAAAAAGTATTAGGATTCAAGTTGAAAGAAAAAAAATTGTGAGGTATAACACAAAAAAAAAAAAAAATTGTTTTTTTAGTTTAATTCCTGTGCTGGTATTAGATGGTATTAGAACCAAAAGTGTTAACATTGGTTAAATTAGATCTTTTATTTATCCTGAAATTCTAAATTAAAGATCAAATTAAAAAAGAAATTGTAGACATACAAACTCTATTGAAAACTTTTTTTTTTCTATTTGAGACAGATTAAAAATAAGTGTTATACCTTAATAAAAGATCAGAAAAATATCCGTAGTGTATGAATCAACATGTACAGTAACTTTATTTTACTTTTTTTAACTCATCACACTATATTGCCATCTCTCTCTCTCTCGTTTCATTCGCCTCATTTTTTATTACAAATACTTCACTCACGGATCAAATATCTCATGGAAACCCAAAACTGTATTCTCAAATATTTTCTCTTTTTCTAAGCTTTCATTGAGGCAAAGAAAGTTATTTTACGATTAATTGTGAACAATGAGAGTTCGCTTTGGACAAGAGTTGTATACAATCATATATTACTTAATTAAGCAAAAGGTAATTTTCAAGATAAATTATGCGTACACTTAAAAACTTTTTGGTTACATTAAAAATTTTCAACTAATAATATTTAAACACATATATATATTTAAATGATAATTTTATTTAATAATAAATTATATATAATAATATATTTTTTAATAATTTCTTAGGTATTTCTTTTTTATTGATACAATTGTTTGAATACGATTTGAGATACTAAAGCAAACATTAATTTTGAATGAACTTGTTAGGGATATGGAATGAGAATTATATTTTAAATTTTCTAGTTTAATTATCAATTTATTTATTTAAATAATATTTTTTTAAAATTAATTCTAAAAATAAAATAAGTTTATTACTATTTTTCTGTTTAGTATTATTTTTTGTAAAATCAACAATAGAATCATTATTGCATATCCGATATAATATTTTTAATAATATTTTATTATTCTATTATCCCAATAAGTGTAAAAGTTAATACATTTTTAATAATACTTTAATATATATATATATATATATATTGTGTTGATGGAATAAAAATTATACCGCACCACCAGAAAAGAGCGAAGAAGTTTATTAAGGTTAGTAAAATTTAGAAATTCATTTTTTTGTTTTTTTAAGTAGGAGATTTAATTTTTGTAAGTTTATTTATTTTTTATTGATGTAATTATTTTTTTAATAAAATATATACTATTTATTCTATTTTAGTCTACAAAGAGCTATAAAATATAATTTAACTATATTGTTGCTTTATTAAATTTTTAAGTTAATAAATTTATTTTACTCTCCTAATTAATATTATGATATTAACTCTAATTAATACTTTTACCTATTTTGTTAAATAATTTAAGAATTTTGTTAAACTCAACCCTACTAAGGATAAATAGTTAACAATAATAAAATTTTATTAAAAAAAATTATTTATTATATTTTTATAACTTTAATATAATAACTATGTACTTTTTTTATATAAAAAATTTATTTGTGGATACTTAAATTCAGCCCTAAAGACTTAAGTTAACAAAACTCATAATTTAAATTATATATTTTAATTTCACAATACTACTATTTGATTAATTTAATTTACTTACATTAACTATATTTTTCTTTTATATTAATTAAACTTTTAATATCATTTTAATAATGATTAATTTTATGATTTGTCTTATTTAAATATTCAATATTTTAATTTATGATTTAATTATGTTTTTGTTCCCTATAAATATAGATCATTTTGTGATAAGTCTCTATAAATTTTTTTGTTAGAATTTAGTTCCTGAAAAGTTAAAAATTTAAAATTTAGTTAACTTTACTTCAATTAAGTGCTGAGCTAGCACTTTCACATCGTCACTACTTCATTTATTTTATTATTTAAAGTTTATATTTATAAATAAGTCCTCCTAAACAAATTTTAAATATTTGCATAAAATTTCTACTGCATTAACCTCTCAGAATCTCAATTTTTCCAAATAAAAAAACTTTAACCCTAACTTTAACTTGCCCTTTTGCTCTTCTTCCCAACCACCTCCCATAGTCTCTTATGATAGTGTTGCAAAATGGAGCTTCACAATGCCATTTTAAATGTATGTACTTGTCATAGCATTCCATGGAACCATACCTCTTCTTCCTTTTGCAAAAATTTGGTCAAACCTTTCTCTACTCTTCTCAATCCTCCCCCATTTACCAAACAAGTAAATCAAGACTGCGTTAACTGAAACTTGACAAGTTTCTTGAGAACTCATGATTAATTAAACTCTTAATATCATTTTAACAATGATTAATTTTATGATTTGTCTTATTTAAACATTCAATATTTTAATTTACGACTTAATTATGTTTTTGGTCTCTATAAATATAGATCATTTTGTGATAAGTTTCTATAAAATTTTATGTTAGAATTTAGTTCCTGAAAAATTAAAAATTTAAAATTTAGTCCTTGCCATTAATTTTACTTCAATTAAGTGCTGAGCTAGCACTTTCACGTCATCACCACTTCATTTATTTTATTATTTAAAGTTTATATTTATAAATAAGTCCTCCTAAATAAATTTTAAATATTTGCATAAAAATTCTACTGCATTAACCTCTCTTAGAATCTCAATTTTTCCAAATAAAAAAACTTTAACCCTAACTTTAACTTGCCCTTTTGCTCTACTTCCCAACCACCTCCCATAGTCTCTTATGATAGTGTTGCAAAATGGAGTTTCACAGTGCCATTTTGAATGTATGTACTTATCATAGCATTTCATGGAACCATACCTCTTCTTCCTGTTGCAGAAATTTAGTCAAACCTTTCTCTACTCTTCTCAATCTTCTCCCATTTACCAAACAAGTAAATCAAGACTGTGTTAACTGAAACTTGGCAAGTTTCTTGAGAACTCATGCTATCATCAACCAATTCTGAAAGAACTTTAACCCATTTCTCAATTTTTTATATCTTAAGGCTAGAATAAGCTAATAAAGCTCTGACCATAGTATCACTTTAAGGAAGCAATTTTTGCCTAATCATCACATTGAGAATGACATGGTTATGGAGTGTCAAGAGGCATTTCTAAAATGAAGTTAGGAGTGAGTTTAGATTTAGGTCTCCAAGATGAGAGAGTAGAGGTTGCGAGTGAGTTTGGGAGTAAGAGAGGAAGGGGAGGGACTCCAGGAAGTTGGAGGTGAGGGATGGAGAGGTTGCATGAAAGGGGAGGGAGTGAAGAAAAGCGTGATGGAGGTAAATGGTAGGGAAAGGTGGGGCGCCTGTAAAATATTTGAAGGTTTTTTCTTAATGTTTATTTTAAATAATAAAATATTATAAAATAAATAACGCAGAATGTCACTTGTTAATACTGAGTTGAGTTTCTGTCAGCTACCTCGACATTTAACGAAATCAAATTAACAATAAGAATTAAATCTTAAATTTTTAACTTTTTAAAGACTAAATCCTAACAAAAAATTTTATAGGAACTTATCATAAAATTACTTACATATATAAAAATAAAAACATAATTAAGCCTTTAACTTATTGCAAAACTTTATTTAAATTTGTTTAAACTCATGGTTTAATTTCAGTTTAATACAACCTAATAAATATATCTAATTATGAATTTTAAACTTAATATATTATTTAACTGAAATTATATATTTATTACATTTTTTATCGTCATTAATTTTTTTAAACATTTTTTTCAATAATCTAAATATACTAACAAATATATCAACTAATTGCGGATTAAAATTTTTTTCCTGACCCACATATATTAACTCAGCCCAGAATCGAAAAGCATATATATATATATTGGATATGCACGATTCTATTGTTGACTTGGCGGAAAATAGAATTAAACTTACCCTATTTTTAGAATTAGTTTTTAAAAAAATATTATTTAATAAATAAGCCAAAATCATCTGCTCAAAAGAGTTAATATAAATACTTTGGTTCTATAATTTACTTTGCAGCATTAAAAAAAAAGAACTTGGGATATTCTTGGAGAAGATATCTCACACAAATTTTAGTAACGTAGCATCCATCCAATCTCACAAAAGGATTGAGAATCTGTCAGACGCATTAACATCAAAATGAAAAAACTTCACAAACCAATGTTCTGATTAAAAAGACATCAATCAAAACAACGAGCTTTTTTTTCTTGTAACAGGAAATTACAATAAAAAAAAAACATGCAACGCAAACTGAGATAGTCAAATAGAGGAGGTGCCAAAAACAAAAAGTTTGGACTTCAATCTCCCACCCTACAGTAAAAAACCAACCCAAAGGATTTTTATTCATAGCGTGCCACATCCAAGTGGTGACGCAAAGTGCCACATCCAAGTGGTGACGCAACCCATAAATTTCTCTACAATGGTTTATTCAACCATCATTCTGATTCTGTGGCAGTGCCTGCAGTGCAGTTCTTTTCTTCACTTCCTGCAAACGTCAACATTAAATAAAGTCAGTAAGAAATCAAATAGACTAATTGCTAGTGAGAGAAAAAATATATATAGAAAAAACAACCTAAGCCTAACCTTTGGAACATTATTAATCTGGCATTTTGA